ACACCCAACTTGGGGACATCCTGGGACATCAAGGGACATTCCCCCAACCCCCCCTCCAAGCCAGGCCCAACGGAGCTGGTGGCAGCTCCAAGCTTGTTGATCCCCTGTCCTTTCTCCTCAAGAAGCTGATCTGGGCTTCCTGGAGCTGAAGAAGACCTCAGACTTTGGCAAGACCTTCAAAGTCATCGCCACCAAGATCTACTCCTTTGGCCTGGGGGGACGTTTCCTTTTCGCCTCCGTCATGACAGAGAAGGTCCTTGTCCCTTCTTTTTGTCCTTCCCATTGTCCCCCTTTGTCCTCCTCAGGAGGATGAGAGGTGACCATGCTTTGGTTCCTCAGGGCACCACCAGGAGAATCCACGTCTCCCTGGACCAAGGGGACACCTGGAACATGGCCCAGCTCCCCTCAGTTGGCCACGAGCAATTTTACTCCATCCTGGCTGCCAATGATGACTTGGTCTTCATGCACGTGGATGAGCCAGGTGGTGAGTGGGACCAGGGACACTTTGTCCCCCAACAGGTTGCCCAGGGAAGCTGTGGCTGCCCCATCCCTGGGGGTGCTGAAGGGCAGGTTGGATGGGGCTTGGAGCAGCCTGGGCTGGTGGAAGGTGTCCCTGCCCATGCAGGGGGTGGGACTGGATGGTCTTGGTTTGGGTTGGAAGGGACCTGAAGGATCACCTGGATGATCTTCAAGGTGGTTCCTCCATCCCTGGGGGTGTTGAAGGGCAGGTTGGATGGGGTTTGGAGCAACCTGGGCTGGTGGAAGGTGTCCCTGCCCATGGATCTAGATGGTCCCTTCCCACCCAAACCATCCCATGATCCCATGACTCCCTCACCCTGTTCCTCAAGGGGCTGTTTTGAGTCACTGCTTCAACTGGGGCTTTTTTTTCTCCTCTTCTGGACTGTCCTGGTGGGATCAACCCCCCCCATCACCACTGTCCCCATGTCCCTCTTGGCAGACACGGGCTTTGGCACCATCTACACCTCAGATGACCGGGGCATTGTCTACTCCAAGTCCCTGGAGAGGCACCTTTACACCACCACGGGGGGAGAGACCGACTTCACCAACGTCACCTCCTTGAGGGGCATCTACATCACCAGTGTCCTCTCGGAAGGTGGGTGATGA